AATATCCCTTCTTTTCAAACTGGTCCTGTAATTGTGGACTTTATAAAATGTTTATTCACTAATGGAAAGGGGGAAGCCAATATGAACAGAGTCAAAATGGTTAGGCAGCTTCTGCGTTCAAAATGGCACAAAAAGGAGCTTGGACATGCTTGCACCAATGTGTAAGCAAATGTCCTTTTACTAAGTCTCCTGAACAGTAGTGTGTCAGTATAATATATCAGTTATCCTCTGCATGCACCAATTTTTTTACCTGGCACATGATCCTGATACTATAGGTGTTCAGGTAAAAAGCAGAATGGTACTGGCTTTGTTTCACTGCTCTGATTTTTTTTTTTTTTTAATTAATGAAAGCCTGGATTCTTTATGTACCTGAAGTTCTTGCTAATATCCCTGAGAATCTTCTGCAAGACTGGGCCCAAAGCCCAGGACACACTGTGAAGTGGTGACTTATTTGCCGATGGAAGGAAAATACATATTTAATAAAAACCTTCATTTTGATGGCATGACAGTAAAAGACTTGCTGTTCCAGGTACATTCTGCACCTGTTTCCTGTGTGTAGCTTGTGTGTGCAAAGACAATACCGTTATTGCCTATTTCATAGAAGTTAGTTATTCAACCTAACTGTTAATGACCAGGGTTGTTAGACATCTACATCTAAACCAGCGGTGTGTATAGTCAATGAATACAGAAAGGCTCTTTGAAGGTGTGATTGATCGTGGGCTGGGTGTTTTAGCATGAGATGACTCACACCCTAGGAGGTACCTGTTTCTCTCCATTGGGTATAAAGCAAGCTGAGGATGACTGTGAGATTGACAGATAGCTGTCTGCATTCCTTCACAGCCATCTCACCCTTGTCATCTTTTTACTGGTTTATTTGATTATTGTGCAATTTAGGCAGTTTGCTAACAGCCCACCTACCACTCTCATTTAACACTCATGAAGAAGAGATTTTTACTTCAAAGAGTAAATTGAAATATCCATGTCCGTAAGGGGTCTGTACCTAAAGTCCCTGCTGATTCTCAGTGATTGTGGATGTAATACTGTGAAATCTTTCAAAGGCTTTAATGAAAGTCAGCTTAAATCTGACTCTGAATTACTGTAATCAAGATTCAGTACAAGTTTTGATTGGGAAATGTCATGGCAAATGTTTCTGAGAGAGAAAGAGAAGGCATCTTGTTAGACGGATCTTGCAGTATACTTCTTAATAGGCAAAGAGGTCTTAAGACATATATTTATGTGTGTCAGCTACTTACTAATGTTCATGGAGTTGTGTGTTAATTCAGCTTCTGAGATTTCAGCTTCTGTGGCTTTCCTGGCAGGGAAAGCTGCAGTATTTTCCCAGCACACTGCTGACTGCAGGTGTCAGAAGTCTGTAGCTTTCAAAACTATATGCTCTTCCCTGTGGTGCCTTTTGCACTGCGCAGTATTGTTTCTGCTTTGTTCATAGGTTCTGAAGGCTTCTATATATATTGTCTTCTACAGGAATCGGTAAAGGTCTGCCGTGTTATAGAGCTGATGCCCTAGAACTGATGATGTGCCTTGAGCTGCTCCTGTAATGTTTCACTGGTTTTCCTCTCCACTATAGAAAATGGCTTCAGACAGTCTTTTGCCTGATACGTGTACCAGATATCCAGATCTGAATAGCAAAACATGCAGGAAAATTACTTTCATCCTAAGTGGCTGTCACTTTCAAGTAAAATAAAACCTGTAAACTGTCTTAAAAGAACCTCAGCAATTTTTTTCTTTTGTCATTTCAATCACAGCCTTCTTATCTGAACTGCACTTTTTTCTCCTTTTCTTCACAAGAGCTTTCTTGTTATGCTTAGTATGCAAGGATGTAGTTAAGTTCCCCTGATGACTTAAACGTGAGCTTCCAGGATTTATGGGCTTTCTTCTGTGATGACTATAAACTGTCCATTGACATGGGAAAGATTCATAGGCCTTGAATATGTCTAATTACGTTTAACACGTGAGGCTGCTGGTAAAGTCACACCATAGTCCCTCTAAGTACAGACCAAGTCTTTCTTTGGGCAGGCAGCTATACACAGCTGCATTAAATTCACAGTAACAGATACAGGGCATGACCGTCACTTCCTATCACAATTAGAAATAACTCCAGAAATGCAAAATACTCCAATACATTAAAAAGCTGAAGTATTTATCAAGCTGCTCAAAGTGATTTATTTCTACATCCCTTCTCTGTCAGTGCAGGGACTGCAATTTACTGCATATATGCTGACTAAAATAGAGAGGTTCCACTCTGGCTACTTTCTGGGTGCTATTGGAGTATTAAATGTTTAATAATAACTAGATTTTTTTAAAAACCAATTTCAATTGCCAAATGAAAATAAGACTTTCTGTCAGTGTAGCAATTACAGTCTAACACCTGACATTTTATCATTTCTGTACACATCTTCATCAGGACAAAATATAATTGGAAGTTGGCTGGCAGTTTTGCTAATGGTGCAGAAAGAATAATAAAATCTAATGTAAGAAATGTTATATATAGTCTTGGAATGGTAACAGAAATTAAAAACTGAAAACATTGGATTTAAAGAACTCATTCTTCCTGTGTTATCCCTCTGCATCCATCTAAGCACCTAGTGAGGATTTGTTTGAAAAGGAAAACAGTTTCATTTTGATACAGCTCAGCTCTAGTTACAGCTTTGACTGTGTCTAATTTACAGTGTTATTTCCTTCCAAAAATCCCATTTTAACACTCACTGTCATCATAATTTCCTCTTTTCCAAGCACTGAGAGGTTGATAGAAATCTGCTTTACGGAAACCTTATCTATTTGTATTGGAATGATACCAGCAATGTAGTAAGATTTTGTCTTTCTTCTTCCTAGCCATCTGCCTCTTTCATTTGGAGTGGGAGCAAATAGGCAGCAGCACTCAGATTTCCTTTGGTTTTCTTGCATCTAAGCTTTTTGACTCACGTGTTTCAGGTCTGTCCTTTGCTGGGGCTTTCACCACACCCTTCTTGTCTCCAGCAAGTTATGAGTACTTTCATTATTTCTTTGCCTATGTCCTTGCTATCTAATTTAATGTTGGCAGGGACAAGAAGAGCAATGGAGCAAGGAGGGATTGGAAGACCCAGCTCTCCCCTGCCATTCAAGATACCTGTCTTATTGTGCTCCAGTGTGTTTCTTGCACTGAAAACTTACTTGAATTACCTTAAATTACTCTTCTTTGTATTTCTTTGCTATTTCAGCTCTTCAGCCCTCCCCGTTTCTTAGTGATGAGCTCTATCGTCAGAGCTTTGATTTCTTATAGGCTAATTAACTATTTCTTGAAGAGCATTTCTCATTATGAACATGTTCAGAAAGAGAAGATCCATGTTGACATGGAAGCCTCCCTTTAAAAAAAGAACAACACCAAAAATAGGACAGCACAATGATCTTCTCTCTTGCATGTTTCAATGAACTAGGCTAAGATTTAAAAGACATCTATTGTCATATTGGTATTGTAAAGCATTTTCCAAAGGGCGTTATTTGCAGAGTTGTGTTCTCAGTTCTTTTGAAATACCTCAATTTGGGCACTGAAAAATGGAGGAACCCAAGAACCATTGGTTGTTTTTTTTAAGTCTTGGCCTTCCAAACTTAACTTTAAAGGGCAAAACCACAAACTGCTCTTGCGTTGTGTTGCACTGTGTTTCTCTTGCAGCTATGCTGGTGTGGGCTGACTTCCTGGCATCTCACAGGCAGGAGCATTTCTCCATAGACATCTCCAAAAATAACCAGGCTGTTGGCATAAATATGGCCAATAATTCAGTTAGTTAGCAGTAATTTCCTCGTGGCATGATTGAGATCATATGATTCATTGTAGCACACTAAACTACCATCTTGCCACTTAAAAGGATGAGAGTCATTCAGCATGTTGTATGATGCATGCAGGTGGGTTGTGCGCTCATCAGAGTAAATCCTCTGCTAGCTTCTGCTTCTGGTCATACCTTCCAAGGCAGAAAGAGCCCAGTTGCCATGGTACTTAGTTGTCTGGCTTCCCCACCAGTATACAGAAGTAATCAATAGGCAAAAATATATTTTCCCACAAGGTTAAGTTGAAGGTACTGAAAAAAACGGTGGCTTTAGCTCCTGTATTTTTTTGTAACACTCATCTTACTTTAATCACTGGCTTTCTTTTCTGATAGTCATAATGCATAGTATGCTTTGATTGGTTTTGTTATGGGTACAATTTAGAAAATAACTATTAATCATTGAGCCACTGTTCAAAATGAAGAATGAATTCAGAATTTCAAATAACACATCTGTCATGGTTTTACCTCAGCCGGCAACTGAGCACCACACAGCCGCTCGCTCACACACCCCCCCGTGGTGGGATGGGGGAGAGAATTGGAAGAGTAAAAGTGAGAAAAACTCGTGGGTTGAGATAAAGACAGTTTAATAATTGAAATAAAATAAAGTAAAATAATAATAATAACAATAATAATAAAAGAATATACAAAGCAAGTGATGCACGATGCAATTGCTCACCACCCACTGACCGATGCCCGGCCAGTCCCCAAGCAGTGGTCCCCCTGGCCAGCTTTCCCCAAGTTTATATACTGAGCATGACGTCAATATGGTATGGAATATGTCCTTGGCCAGTCTGGGTCAGCTGTCCTGGCTGTGCCCCCTCCCAGCTTCAAAAAAACATACTCCTTGGGCATCTTCTTTTAGATGAAAAATTAAAGCCAGTGTCTTCTCTACATTTGTTTAATTCTGATGATCTGCTAGACAGTTATTAAATTTTAGGAAATGTTGGTCTTGTTTTTTATGGAAGTAATTTTATTGACAAAGTAGAAATGCTTCTGTTGTTTTTAAGGCACTGTAGTATCCATAGAGAAAAATACATTAAAAAACATGGGCAAGATGATGTAATTACATAGGAAAGACCAGTAGATGCTTAATCTGAAAATATATTCAATTTATTCTTTTAATTTTAATAATAAGATTATTGCAATAGCCAATTTATTGACTTCTCTAAATACCACAGGCAAATGCTTGAAATCTCAGTATTTGAACTGCGAAACACAGTAACAGAACTGGAGAAAAGACTTGGCAGTGTTGAAGATGAAGGTAAGTGAATTGCAACAGTCTTGCTAATTGATTAGGAAACACAGAAAATTAATTATTTTGGGTAGGCCCTGCAGCGATACAAATTTTTATTTAGAAATTTAAGTTTTTTCTTTTCAAACATGACTATTATATGTGTGATGTTGCAAATGTGAAATTAAGGAATACTACATGCTGCATGTTAGCTTTAATTATTAATGAAACTATGAATAACACGAATTCATAGAGTTGGTTACTATTCTGGCCACAGTAAGACCAGTGAAAAATTCCCTTGATTTATATTTTCAAGGTCTTTTATATGCAAATATCCTCATTATGAGGATTACTAACTGGAGACTCTCTCAGTCTCCAGAAAAAAGTGGGAACAGTTTGAAAAAATGCTAACTTTTACTTGAAATGGTATGAACTAATCTGGGAAACAGAATAACCCTGTATTTCTTTTTAAGGTAATGAATGGAAAACCAGATATGAGACACAAGTAGAATTGAACGAACAGCTGGAAAGGCAAATTAATATTCTTCAAGAGAAGATAGACCTCATTCGTGGCAATCCAGCAGGTAGAAATGGGTATTCATAACTGGTTTTCAATAGAATTCATGATTATATGCTGAAATTATATCAATGGGTCAAATTTTCTGCTTATTTGTAGATAAATTGTCCATTGTTCGCACCTTTGATCAAATGCCTGTGGTGAGTACTATGGCATTTAGTTAGTTAACAAAAAATTGCAGTGTAATTGAAGAACTTGTATAATCTTTGTTGTTTTTTCATGACAGAGAATATCAGCAGCCTGGTCTAGAAACCAAAACAATCAGTCCTGCTTACTTTTTTATTATCTGAGATATGCAGTTGCTTATAAATTTATGAAGTATAGAGTAAAATCATTAAATAGGAGGTACGTAAGACCTGAATGTTGGGAAGAATCATGTAGTGAAATTTTTGACTGAGTGAAGGTTGTGTGATTGGACCTGCAGTAAGGCATATGAGATGGAGTAGCTGGACTAGTTCCATGAGTAAATGGAAAAATGTTAAACCTTGATCATTTAGGTTGGAAGGGCCCCCTTTGAGATTTTCTAGTCCGCCCCTCCTACTCAAGCAGGGCCACCTACAGCAGGTTGCCCAGCATGATGTCCAGTTGGGTTTTTAATATCTCTGCAGATGGAGACTTCACAGCTTCTCTGGGCAATGTGTTCCGGTGTTTGACCACCCTCACAGTAAGAAAAGTGCTTTCTTGCAATCAGATGGAATTTCATGTGTGTCAGTTTGTGCCCATTGCCTCTCATCCTGTCAGTGGGCACCACTGAGAAGAGCCTGGCTCCCTCTTCTTCATTCCCTCCCATCACGTATTTATACACATTGCTGAGATTGCCCTGGTCCTTCTCTTCCCCGGGCTGAACCATCCCAGCTCTCTCAGCCTCTCCTCATCTGTGCTGGACTTGGTCCAGGAAATCCATATCTTTCTTGTACTGGGGAGCCCAGAACTGGACCCAGCACTCTGGATATGTCTAACCAGTGCTAAAGAGAAGGGACGGATCACCTCCCTCAACCTGCCGGCAACATTCTTCCTAACGGAGCCCAGGCGGCCATTGGCCTTCTTTGCAGCAAGTGGCTTACCCACTTTTAGAAATAAGGAAGGCAGATAAGGATGTGATAATGCCTTGTAACATAAGCAGGAATAATGAACATTATGAGGCAGGGCTCTGATGATTTTTATTCCAGTTGCTTATGCTTACAGAAGTGTTTCCATCTTACTTTTTTGTGCTTCAGATTCTGTAAGATTAATGGGAGTTTACTGAGCCTAGAGGCAGCTGCATGCCCTATTAGTGGGAATGATTGTCTGTAGTAAGCAGGGTGTGAATAATTAACTGCTCTTTCTGACCTGATCCATGGCTTTCAGATAGTAAACATTCTTGCCAGTTTTAGTACTGACCTAGAGACCATGGTGTTTTCTAGATTGGCAGGATTTTTTGTTTTAAACAGTTAATTAAAAAGAAAACAAAATCTTTCCCATCCCACTTTCCTGTTTCATGGAGTTGATTTGAAAATACAACTGGGATTATATTTGAAGAAAAGTCTTGAAGACAGAACATTGATCTAGAAAATTTACAGTAGAGTCTGCTTCAGACAGTGTTATTCCTGTCAGCCTGTAAAGCACAGACTGGCATGCATGCTTACAGTATCAGAAGTGTTTATTTCCATCCAATTGCTAGTACTCTCTTAAATCCAATTACACCTTGCCAAGCACTCGAAAAGTCATTACCAGTGAGATAATCTCCTTTACCAGCAGCTGGGCTGCACCAGTCCAGTACATTTCTAATCCCTACTAAATACTGCCTTGCCTCCTCACCTATGAGCTATGGTTCTGAGAGGTTTGATTACTGTTCCCACAAAGGAAAGAATGACAGCACAACTGAAAGGTTCATACTGCTAGAAGGAGTCTAGAAGACAGTTTGAAGAGTCCTAGACTTACTCAGTGACACCTAGGGAAGTCTGGAGCCCATGTGCCATGCCGTAGTTTTTTCTTCTGCATTTTTAAGTCCTTCCTTCAGCCTTCCAGCTTAGAGTGAATACATTCTTCTGTTTGCTAGCCAGAGGGGAGAAAAAAGTGCGTAGGGATTTAGTGAAATGTTTCATTTTATCTTGTTTCGATTTTCGGGAGATGGAAAGACGGGAAGAAAAAAGATGTATTTTGTGGGCTTTGCTGTTTTTGTTTCACTGAAGCTATCAGAAAAGTCAGTGTATATTTACAGACACTCTTGAAGAATGCAGAGCTGCTTTTTTTTCTTTTAAATTTTAGGAGGTAAAACATTGGTAAAAATAAATACACAGATCATTTTGTGGTGTTTAGGTATATAGGTTTATCCAAATCCTTTTTATGTTTTTGAGAGTTGTTCAGGGGAGTAGGGGGGAATATTTAGCTTCTCCACAGATGAGAATAAAGAGCAGATGTGGTGAGTGGGTGTAGAAAAACAAAGAGCTTTGCAGCCAGTCATCAATCTACATTTGCTCAAAGTAAAAATGCTGAGAGTGGGTAAATTGTGCGTGTGTGTGTTAAATCAAAAGTACACTATGATATTCAGCTTTCAACTTGCAGTTCCATATGAAGCTCTATGAAAAGATAGCAGAGTGATTCTTCCAGCAAGATGATACAATTTCTAGAATATGGCAACAGTAGACAGTACATTTTATTTTGAACAACGTATTTAGAAAATTAAATAGTATTTGCAAGTCTTTTTAACCTGTGTTCCGAAGGAAGTTAGAATTACACAGTTAGAGTTATTAGAAGGACCTCTAATAACGCTTAACTTCCTACACAATTTCAGCTGATTTAACAGAGGAGATATTTCAAAGATACTAAAGAGATTTATCTCACTCAGCTGGTCATTTAAGGTCCTACCATAGTCAATAGAAGGAGAAAAACATGTCCGTAAAGTAACTCATCCCATTTAGAGATAGGTAGCATAAAATATTTTCCTGATATCAAGCCCTACAGGGAAAATAAAAAAAAAGATTAGTTGTCAGGGACTGTGGCAGTCAGCAAGCTATAAAAACCTAAATGAAAAAGAAGAATACAAATGCAAATTCTGGAGTGATGAGCAAAAAGCACAGAGGATTTTCTGTGTTGATAAACTGCAATAATTGTTGCAGATGGCTTGCACTATTTTGCTTTAGAATTAGAATTGTACTGATGGAATGATTCCTTGCTAAACACCCCTTAACCATTTAAATATACAATTAGCATTCTGAAGTCCTTATACTGACTGAAGATAATCCTGTTTTTTTTGTTTCAAAAAAATCATATAGGTGTCACATGTCAGTAAATGCAGAACGAATACCTTGAACACACAAATTTTTACAGCCAGAGTTTAGAAAATCATTTTTGTGTACTGAGGGCAGATTAAAAATAACCTAAACAGTGACAAGCACAAGGGAGTTCCAACAGTGAAAACTGTTTAGTCAGTAATTTCCTTTATGTCCCAATGAATAATACAAATGTCATACAGTACTTCAGAAATAATTACAGAAGAAGTGCCTTCTCTCTAAAGTATAACATGATGTGAATTTTACTTGCCTCTCTTAAACATGCGGCATTCATTTGTTTGCATATTTTCATTAAATGAGTTTTGGTGAAATACATGTTCTCTGCTAAGCATAATTTCCCGTATAAGCACAAAGAAAATTATTCCTTTCTCTCTCATCATTTCTGCAAGAAAGAATCCCTAGATAGCGGCTTTAGTATGCAAATACTGAAAAGCATACTGCAAAATCAGTTCAGAAGAGCACACTCCTGATAGCATTGCCTTAGCAACGCTCTAGTTAAGATTAGCCAAGGAACCAAGGTTTCTGTGATAAATCACCATTTTCAGGAATGTCCAGCACCATGGCTGAGAAAATTCTGACATAAAGGGCCAGATACTTGCTTTGCAAAGTTGCCTTTCTGAGAGCTCAGTGACCACAGAACTGAGACCCTCACACAACCACCTCAGGGATTTTGCTGTCAGTTTTAAACTCTAAACAGAACATGTGGCAGTGTCACACTGGAGAAGACATTGGCAACATGACAGGAGGGGAACCTTGGGTTTATGAAAACACGCAACAAAGATTTTGTATTTCAGTAGGTGTTATTAACTGCCTATAGGGAACATCAGCACTTCATAATGGCATAGGAAATATTCACAATTCTTCTAGCAAGTCACTGTTAAATGAATCTCATTGCTCTTGCTGGATTAAGTCACCAGTAGCTCTATGGGAAGAAGAAATCATAGAATCATAGAACAGTTTGGGTTGGAAGGGACCTCTAAAGGCCATCTAGTCCAACCCTCCTGCCGTGGGCAGGGACATCTTCAACTAGATCAGGTTGCTCAGAGCCCTGTCCAACCTGACCTTGAATGTTTCCAGGGATGGGGCAGCCACCACCTCTCTGGGCAACCTGTGCCAGTGCTTCACCACCCTCAGCATAAAAAATTTCTTCCTTCTATCTAGTCTAAATCTACCCCCCTTTAGTTTAAAGCCATTCCCCTTGTCCTGTTGCAACAGGCCCTGCTAAAAAATTTGCTGCCATCTTTCTTATAAGCCCCCTTTAAGTACTGATAGGCTGCAATGAGGTCTCCCTGAAGCCTTCTCTTCTCTAGGCTGAATAACCCCAACTCTCTCAGCCTTTCTTCATAGGAGAGGTGTTCCATCCCCCTGATCATTTTTGTGACCCTCCTCTGGACCCTCTCCAACAGGTCTGTGTCTTTCTTATGCTGAGGGCTCCAGAGCTGGACGCAGTACTCCAGGTGGGGTCTCACCAGAGCAGAGTAGAGGGGTAGAATCACCTCCCTCGACCTGCTGGTCACGCTTCTTTTGATGCAGCCCAGGATCTGATTGGCCTTCTGGGCTGGGAGCGCACATTGCTGGCTCATGTCCAGCTGGTATCCTATCTTTTCATGAAACTTGGAAGAATTTTGGAGAAAGTTCTGTAGTCTGGTCTGAGTGCCCTAAGCTGCATCCTCCCTCCTCACAGACTTCCCCTTCCTACTCCTTTCATCTGACCTTGGACAAGTATTTTGGATACCTCCAAGAGACCTTTCTGATTTGCTTTTTTTCCTTTCCTTGTCATGTTGGCATTAGTTGTTCCTCCTGGTGGCCTTGCACAAATCAGCAGACTATTTTACTCAAATCACTTTGTGGTATTCCCAGAGGCAGAA